TTTCCTTCTCTCTTTCCTTCTTTTTTCCTTCTTTCTTTTAGTTCTTTCTTTCTTTATCATCTCCTTTCTTTCTTTTTGCTTTCTTTCCTTCTCTATCTTTTTTCTTTCCTTCTTTCTTTTAGTTTTTTCTTCCTTCATCGTCTTCCTTCTTTCTCTTCTTTCCTTCTCTCGTTCCTTCTTTTTTCCTTCTTTCTTTTAGTTCTTTCTTTCTTTATCATCTTTCTTTCTTTCTTTCTTTCTCTTTTTTCTTTCTTTCTTTTTGCTTTCTTACCTTCTATATTTTTCTTTCCTTCTTTCTTTTAGTTTTTTTTTTTTTCAGCCATCTTTCTTTCTTTCTTTCTTTCTTTCTTTCTTGCTAGAACCAATATAAACCGAACACGTATTTCTTTTTTAACGAGGGAAACAGCTCTGATGCCAAGTCTGCTTTACAATTAGGTCACTATCAGCCATTATTGCAAAGCTGTGCTTAATTGCCTCCAACTAAGAAATGTATTCGTTAGGATATTTCAAAGTGTTGACCTTTGAAAAAAGTGAATATTTCTGCTGAAACTTTGTCTAGTCTAACAGTGAATGTACTTCTTGTATCGGTTCGAGTTTCCATAGAAACAAATAGGAAGCATTACTTTGGCAGCTGCTTTTATATCTATATATCAATCTAGAATAAACAATTAAAAAACGGAAACAAGAAATGGAAAGAAATGAAAAAGAAACAAGGGAATAAACGTGAGTTCTGCAAATTGCGGCTCAATAACCAAAACCAGAAAAACTTGAAACAAAATATTCCAAGACAGAAAAGCACAATCTACAAATCGTACATCTAATAGAATCTGTGATGTGCTTTGGATTATCTATCTATCTATCTATCTATCTATCTATCTATCTATCTATCTATCTATCTATCTATCTATCTCAGTCGCGTCATATCTATCTATCCATATCTATCTATCGCCACCTTTTCAGAATTATCTATCTATCTATCTATCTATCTATCTATCTATCTATCTATCTATCTCAGTCGCGTCATATCTATCGATCCATATCTATCTCCATCTTTTAAGAATTATCTATCTATCTATCTATCTATCGCCACCTATATCTCAGAATTCAGAATTATCTATCTCAGTCGCGTCATATCTATCTATCTATATCTATATATCTACCTCCACCTTTTCAGAATTATCTATCTATCTATCTATCTATCTTTCTATCTATCTATCTATCTATCTATCTATCTATCTATCTATCTATCTCAGTCTGCTCATATCTATCTCAACCTGCTCATATCTATCTATCTATAAGAGAAAAGAATATTGTTTACTTTTCCAAATTTCTAAATTTAAACACACCCTAAAATATTCTTCAAACTGTCTAAGAAAATAGCAAACTAAGGATGAGGCTAAGTGATGTAATTTAATATCTAATAAATAAAAGTGAGTAAATGTTGTAACTGTTGTAGTTGTAGTTTTTATTTTCTTATTTGTTTTGATATATTTATAATTATGTTTTATTATTAATTATTCTATTTTAATTTAATAAATTATGGAAGTATTTATTTTAAATAATGAATTTAGTGAGATGTTTTCTCATAATTTTAAATAAATGTCATGTATGTTGACTCGAGAAAGAAGGGAATTTAAAACTGAATATCAGAAATTATCTTCAGGGAATTCTGGACTGAATATAGGAATTTATCTTCAGCGAATTCTGGACTGAATATCGGAGGTTATCTTCAGGGAATTCTGGACTGAATAATGGAATTTATTTTCAGGGAATTCTGGATTGAATATCGGAAGTTATCTTCAGGGAAATCTGGATTGAATATTGGAAGTTATCTTCCGGGAATACTGGATTGAATATCGGAATTTATCTTCAGGGAATTTTAGACTGAATATCGGATGTTATCTTCAGGGAATTGTGGATTGAATATCGGATGTTATCTTCAGGAAATTTTGGACTGAATATCGGATGTTATCTTCCGGGAATACTGTACTGAATATCGGAATTTATCTTCCGGGAATACTGGACTAAATATAGGGAGTTATATTCATGGATTTCTGGACTGAATAATGGATGTTATCTTCCGGGGATTTTGGACTAAATATCGGAATTTATCTTCAGCGAATTATGGACTGAATATCGGAAGTTATCTTCAGGGAATTTTGGACTGTATATCGGAATTAATCTTCAGCGAGTTCTGGATTGAATATCGGAAGTTATCTTCAGGGAAATCTGGATTGAATATCGGAAGTTATCCTCCGGGATTAATGGACTGAATATAGAAAGTTATCTTCAGGGAATTTTAGACTGAATATCGGATGTTATCTTCAGGGAATTTTAGACTGAATATCGGATGTTATATTCAGGGAATATTGGACTGAATATCGTAAGTTATCTTCAGGGAATTCTGGACTGAATATCGGAATTTATCTTCAGCGAATTCTGGATTGAATATCGGAAGTTATATTCAGGGATTTCTGGACTGAATATTGGAAGATATCACCAATGAATTCTGAATTGAATATCGGAAGTTATCTTCCGGGAATACTGGACTGAATATCGGAAGTTATCTTCAGGGAATTTTGGACTGAATATCGGAAGTTATTTTCAGGGAATCTTGCACTGAAACCTTTAGGATAGTTTGCTATGGTTCCGCTGTCAATGCTAAGGGACAACTCGTCTGGTTCTTTTTTACTTGCCGCTCAGTTATTCCAAGTCCTCTCTAGAGATTGATTTCATAATTAACATTTCACCAAATTCATGAATCAGTGATCTAATACTCTAGCGCATCACTTCTTAAATTCTTTCCATTCAGGACTCCATTTTTCATCAGGAGATTTTTCGCGATCCCAGGTATTAACCAACTACACTGAAAATGCACCCTTTGTCACCGCACTAGTCCCCACGGCACCACACGCGCGTTTTATTACCGCAGCGCAAGCGTGGCGGATCACGTTTAATATTGAGCGTTTGTGAAATAATATAAAAACTGAAATTCAAGGGTCTGAATTTAATATTCGCGACCCTAGCTTTTCGATTCCCAACCCCATTTTGGGCCGCGACGTATAGTTTAAGAAGCTCTGCTCTAGGGTATTTTCTCTTTGTACAATGCTGAAACGAGTTCTTGAAGCCGTATGACTAAAGTTTTTTTATTGCCTCCTCTGCTACGACAGCCTTGCAGTCAAGCTTTACATCTTTTGCCGCCACATTGAAAATAAACCTACAGAAAATAGTTATCGGCAAACATAGGAACGAGAATAGTACTGGATCGAAAAATTCTGTTCGAAATTCCCTGAAAATTACTTAGATCCACATACAACTGAAAAAGGCCAGAGGACCCAACGGTCGAAACGTTTCGATAGTAACAATCAAGATGAGGACATTAGTACGAATGTGAATAATGATAACTACTCAACCCAGAAATTCAGACGCAAATAGTAGTTAGCAACACTCCCTGCCTCCTATCAGCATGGCTGATACCCCAACTCCACGAGATCGTCTCTCTGTACCTTCTTGGTCTCAGGTTGGAACAACTACATTGAATCAATAGCTTCATCTACGGCAAGGAAAGTTGGTTTTCTGCGTCGCACCAAAAGGTTTTTTCTCGTCTGATTCCATCTTTCAAATCTACCATTCGTCCTTGCATTGGATACTGTTGCCATATATGGTATGGTACCCCCGATGTTCATCTCGAGGTCCTCGACAAAATCTAGAGACGGATATGCAATGTGATAGCTCCTGGCCTGATGTGGCTTCCGTCTGACTTTTCTACAAATAATTCCATGGCAACCGCTCTGACGCGATACTTTCACTGCTACCCAAACTGCGTGAATTTAAGCGTGCTACTAGGTTGGCATCTCGGTCCCATCCCTTCAATATCGAAACAGTTAAATGTAACCTCCTCTTCAACTCCAACAGTTTCTCTTGCACTTCCCGACAGTGTAATTCCCTTCCTCCTACTTGCTTCCCTGATAGCTATAATGCTCAAATATTGAAATGTAATGTCAATCGACATCAGCTGATACCTTGATTCTGATCCCAATCTTTCTTTATATCCATTCCTCAAACACCGCTCTTTAGTCATGTTCTGTAAACCCTTGCATGCTAGTGGCATTCCCACCTTAAAAAAAAAAAAAAAAAATACTGATTGCTTGATTCATTATTTTTTTACAGGTTACCAACCCTCATGTGTTATTTAAAGCTAAAGCATGTTTTGGATTGTAAGAATATATTTTTGCGAGTGCATATGGTATTAATAGGTATTTGAGAGTAAATTTTTTTCAGATAAAAGTCCTACTATTTAATCCATAGATGGGAGAGAAACATGCCTTTTCCTGACGGTATTCTTTGAATAAGTGAATGTAATGAACCCGACGGAAAATTAAAAACGTCTCCCAGATTTATCATTCCCAGCTGTAGCTGATAGGTATTTAGTTAACAAATAATAATGTAGTAATTTCTACCCTCCTTTGCTGACCTAAAATTATGGCCTTGTGTATTCAAGTATAGTGGAACCATGATCTGTAGAAGTTAGAATTCGAAGATGATTTTTAAAAGCATCATGGAACTTAAGAATGAAAATAGAAACTTGGATTCTACGGCTACTGAAGTGGGATACCTGGATAAAAAAATCCTTTGGAGGTTTTCAAAGTAAATAAAAGTGAAGAAAATTCTTAAAGAAAGAAATGTTTGGAAGTAATCAATATTTCGAATATTATTTTATTTAACAGACAGAATTTTAAAATGACTCCTATCTATTTTGGTTTCTCTCAGCATCTGACTGGAAGCGAGCCTGAATTTATATAAGGAGACTTTTTTCTTAAGTTGAAATAAAAAGCAGAGATAAGTATCTGTGTTTTGTAAGTACCAGGGGAAAATTTTGAGTTTGAAATCCGTCTGGGAAATAGATAAGAGAAACATGGCGATAAGAAAGGCGACAGGACAATTGAAAGCGTGCCATTGTGGTTTAAGAGGAGCTCAAAGGAAGTACCGAAATGAAAGATTTATATAAAATGCGTGGAAATGAAGAAGAAAAAGAAAGAAAGAAAGAAAGAAAGAAAGAAAGAAAGAAAGAAAAATGAAACACAGAGTATGAAAATAGAAATAAGGAAAATAAAAAATAAATTAGAGACGAAAAGGAAAAAAAGAAAGAAAGAAAGAAAGAAGGAAAGAAGAAAAGAAGGAAGGAAGGAAAGAAAGAAAGAAAGAAAGAAAAATGAAACACAGAGTATGAAAATAGAAATAAGGAAAATAAAAAATAAATTAGAGACGAAAAGGAAAAAAAGAAAGAAAGAAAGAAGGAAAGAAAGAAAAGAAAGAAGGAAATAAAGAAAGAAAGAAAGAAAGAAAGAAAGAAAGAAAGAAAGAAAGAAAGAAAGAAAGAAAAGAAAGAAGGAAAGAAAGAAAAAAAGAAGGAAAGAAAGAAAGAAGGAAAGAAAGAAAGAAGGAAGGAGGGAAAGAAAGAAGGAAAGAAAGAAAGAAAGAAATGAAATACAGAGTATGAAAATAGAAACGGTAATGAAGTATAAAAAAAACTAGAGGAGAAGAAAAAGAGAGAAAGAAAAACAAGAAAGAAGAAAGAAAGAAGAAGTAGAGAATGTAATAGTAAAAAATGAGAATGAAAGAAAAAAAAGTAAAAAATAATGAAGCAAGAAAATAAAGAAAGAAAGGAAAACAAAGAAAAAAATAGAAAGATATAAAAGAAGAAAAGATTTAGGAAGAAATAGAAATGAAAAAAAAGTAACACTTGGTGTGAAAAGGTAATTGTAATATTAACCGTTTCCCTATAAGGAAACAGTTTTCGATTCATTGCGCGGGCAGCCATTATTGCTTTCGATTGGAATTCATAAAAAAACCCTACTCTTTTTAGAAAAACAGGTTTCACAAGTCCAGTAACTGTTATCGCTCTTTCTAGTATTGAAAAAAAAGGGGGGGTATCCTTCCGAACCTTCCATTTATTAACATCTCAATTATATCATAATTTTCTCTTCGATTTACATGTGATATGCATTTTAGTTGTTGCTGCACTTGTCGTCATAAAATGATGTGGTTTCCCCTACTTAGTGCAGTCATTTGTGATTCTGTAACGCCTGGCTACAATGTTCAAAGAAAGATGATCTTTGCTATGACCCTTAGGCTTCCTCTCGCACAAAGCCTTTTTTTTTTCAATATTGATATGTGGAAGCGGCTGTCTGCTTCGGACTGTTTAGATATTTCTAAACTGGTTTGGCACCAGGTATGGCAGTATCGATTTGATGAGGCATGAAGAGCCATGACGACTTTTCAGGTTGATGTTTTGGTCACGTAGCCCTTTGTTGTGTTGGGTGAAACTATCTCTGACGCAAACTAGTCTATGTTCTTTTTCTACTATATTCAGTTTTAAAAAATTTTAAAAAAAGGAAGGAATAGTAACAGAAAAAAAATAAAGAAGAGTGAAAGAGAAAAAAATGAAAATGTTAATAATAAGAAAGAAAAACAAGACAGAAGCTAAAAAATGCATTAATTAATGAATTACAGTGGAACTTCCCTTCACGAATTTAATTCGTTCCTGAAGGCCGTTCGTTACACGAAATGTTCGTAAACCGAAACTATTTTTACCAATAGGAATCAATGTAGAGATAAAGAGTCACAGTATAATAAAATTGGAAAAGAAAAGCAAGCCACAGCACACGAATATATACAACACTACGGTCGACTTCAGAAATGATTCCGTTCAGATTAATTCGGTTCGGCAATGTTGTTCAAGAACCGGAAATTTTTTCGATAACCAAGGTATTTTCATCTCGAATTTTCTGTTCGAAAACCGATTTGTTCGACATATTAGACGTTCGAGAACCGAGTTTGCACTGCGCATATATATATATATATATATATATATATATATATATATATATATATTACACACACACGCACTAATATACAGATGTATACAATGGAATTTCCGTTCACAAATTTGATTCGTTCCTGAAGGCCGTTCGTAACCCGAAATGTTCGTAACCCGAAGCTATTTATCCAATAGAAATCAATGTAGAGAAAAAAGTAACAGTAAAATAAAACTGTAAAAGAAAAGCACGCTACAACACACAAATATGTACAACACGGCGGTCGACTCAGAAATTATTCCGATCGAGTTAACTCGGTTCGGTTTGGCAATGTTGTTCGAGAACCGAAATTTTGTTCGATAACCGAGGCATTTTCATCTCGAATTTTCTGTTCGAAAACCAATTTGTTCGACATGTGAGACGTCCGAGAACCAAGGTTGTTCTGTATAAGAATAAAGAAGATAATGTAAAAGAAAAGAAGGAGATAGAAGAAAAAAGAAAAAAAAAGAAAGGAATGAAAAATTGGAAACATGTACCTGATGATTGAGAACATGCAATGCAAAAGGAGAATGAAACCTCAATGTGAAGGAAGAAAAGAAAGAAAGGATCGTTTGAAAGCGGAAAGAACAGAAAGCAATGGACGGAAAAAGAAGGCCTATCAAAACGAGGCTGAAACTGAAAAAAAAAATGACAGTTTAAAAATGATAACAAATGTCTGAACAACGTCACAAAAGAAAAAGAAAAAGAAAACGAAACACTGAGGACTTTTTTTTTCTTTTTTTTTTGTCAAGAGGCCAAGCCCCCCAAAAACAACCAACCAAATTCCGAGGCGGTAGAACTTCCAAAGCAACTACTTAAGTATCAGGTTCTTAACGAATAGATTTATACCTTGACACATAGATAAATTCAAAAGGAGATATATTACCTACATCAAAGGCGCCGGCAAATCCTCTTCCCTACTCCCCATCCAACCAATTCCCCTTACCCGCAAATCGCTGTGGTGGCAGATAGGTAACGTCTTTGGGTGTGTACAAACAGGAAAATGATATAAAAATGTAGTCAGGAGCTGTGTGTCGGGTTTAGGGTGGGAGCCAGTGCGCAGTGGGTAAGGACTAACGGGTTTGTGTATGCTAATGTCAGGGGACAATTAGAGGTAGGTATTTTGGGGAGTTTCAAAGCAACCAACAGCCGGTGTGAAGAGTATTGCATGGTGGGATAGATTGTCCGCAAGCGTGATCAACGTTTGCCCTTTAAACAAGACGTGGCATAGTGGAGAGTAAAAGGATGAGGAGATAAATGGACAAATAAAATTAGGAGGAGGCGAGTGAAACTGTATTAATGGTGGTGGGGAGGACGATAACGAAGATAATGGACGAACAATGAGAGAGGGTGCAAATGAGAGGGAAGTAAGGTTACAAAGGAAGTTGGAGGAGAGTGAAATTAGGTTAGAAGAGGAGTAGAATGAATAAAGAATAATACAGATAGTGAATGGGAAAGGGTGAATATGAAGATAAAAAGGAGGCGGGTGACATTGAGTTAAAGAGGGTAGAGGATGAACCACAAAAATGAGATATGGCTAGAAAAAGAAGACAAATATGCAGGAAGATGGGAGTAATTATGTTAGAGGAGGAGAGGGAATAGGTGGAGGTAGAGGAGGAAGAGGAGGAGGAAAATAAAAAGTATAAGACTGTACGGAAGGGTATAATGAAGCATCAGGATATGAGATGACGATAGAAACATCGTATAAAGTTAGGTGGGATGGAGGATAATTTACAAAGAATGAGAGCTTCGTGAAGGGGAGGAAAATAAGAATAGTGGAATAAGTTAGAGGAGGAGAACACTTAAAACAAGAATAAAAGAGAGTGAAATTGTAAGATGAATATGAGATGAAGATAGAGGGTGAGGAGGGACAAATGGAGACAGGGAATAAAGAAAGAAGGGGAAATTACTTTAGAGGAGAAGGAAGAGGGTGATCAAAAACATAAGAGAGGATGAATATGATGAGATGAGTAGAAGATAGGAGGAGGGTGACACTGTGTTAGAGAGGAAGAAGAGGAACAAATAGAGACAGGGGATAAAGAAAGAAGGGGAAATTACTTTAGAGGAGAAGGAAGAGGGTGATCAAAAACATAAGAAAGAATATGATGAGATGAGTAGAAGATAGGAGGAGGGTGACACTGTGTTAGAGAGGAAGAAGAGAACAAATAGAGACAGGGGATAAAGAAGAAGAGGGAGAAGGAAGAGGGTGATCAAAAACATAAGAGAGTGAATATGATGAGATGAGAAGAAGATAGGAGGAGGGGTGACACTGTGTTAGAGAGGAAGGAGAGGAACAAATAGAGACAGGGGGATAAAGAAAGAAGGGGAAATTACTTTAGAGGAGAAGGAAGAGGGTGATCAAAACATAAGAGAGGTGAATATGATGAGATGAGAAGAAGATAGGGAGGAGGTGACACTGTGTTAGAGGAGAAGGAGAGACACTGTGATTAAAGAAAGAAGGAAGGGAGAAGGAAGATCAAAACAAAGAGGGTGAATATGATAGATGACACTGTGTTAGAGAGGAAGAAGAGGAACAAATAGAGATGGGGATAAAGAAAGAAGGGAATTAAAGGAAGAGAGAAGGTGAATATGATGAGATGAGAAGAAGATAGGAGGAGGGTGACACTGTGTTAGAGAGGAAAAGAGGAAACAAATAGAGATAGGGGATAAAGAAAGAGGAACTTTAGAGGAGAAGGAAGAGGGCGATCAAAAACATAAGAGAGGGTGAATATGATGAGATGAAAACACTGTGTTAGAAGAAGAAGAGGAACAAATAGAGATGAGGGATAAAGAAAAGGGGAAATTATTTAGGGAGAAGGAAGGGCGGAGAGGAATATGATGAGATGAGAAGAAGATAGGAGGAGGGTGACACTGTGTTAGAGAGGAAGAAGAGGAACAAATAGAGATAGGGGATAAATAAAGAAGGAAATTACTTTAGAGGAGAAGGAAGAGGGGGCGATCAAAACATAAGAGAAGGTGAATATGATGAGATGAGAAGAAGATAGGAGGAGGACAGAGAGGAAGAAGAGGAACAAATAGAGACAGGGGATAAAGAAAGAAGGGGAAATTACTTTAGAGGAGAAGGAAGAGGGCGATCAAAAACATAAGAGAGAGTGAATATGATGAGATGAGAAGAAGATAGGAGGAGGGTGACACTGTGTTAGAGAGGAAGAAGAGGAACAAATAGAGATAGGGGATAAAGAAAGAAGGGGAAATTACTTTAGAGGAGAAGGAAGAGGGTGATCAAAAACATAAGAGAGGGTGAATATGATGAGATGAGAAGAAGATAGGAGACGGGTGACACTGAGTTAGAGGGGGTGAGTATGAATGAAAATGTGAGGAGTCGAGCTAATTAAGTTAAAGAGGGAAGAGGAGGAGAATAATAAAAATAAGAAAGGGTGGATATGAAGATATGATTGAAATAGGAGGATGGTGAGACTGAGTTATAGTACGAGGAGGAGAGGACAAATATTAATCTAGGTAATGACGGAAGAGTGGTAATTATGTCAGAGAAGGAGGCGGTTAATCAACAGACTAATTGAGAGTATCTATAGCTGGCCACTGGTATTCGAGAATACGCGTATACTAGGGCTGCTAACCAATCCTTATTGCAGACGCTTGTTCAGAGCCCACCTGGGTTTTATACTACAACTATGCTGAGCAGACCTTAGTTACAGTTTCTGGGAAATAGCGTGTTATCTTAAGTAATCAACAATTTGAACAAGGCCAGCATCCTCAAACCCTCAGCCACGCTGACTTGTGACTCCCAACGGTTCCGCCTATCCAATTTCACTCACAAGGCTTGGGTCAACCCGTGGTATGTTTTCAGTCACTTTGCAAAGGTGCCGCTGGCTGGTATCGACTGCTCCAGTCCGATAACATCAAGAAGTCTCCTGACAAATGGATCATGGTGAGATTCGAACCCGGGTATCATGGTCAGAATGCGAACATTCTAAACATTCGGCCCATAATTAAAAGTATAATGAATAAATAAAGATATGACACGTAGAAGGAGATTGACATTATATTACAGGATAGGACGATCTATAAAAAACTACATGAGTGACATGTAGAGGACAAATATGAAAGATAGAATACAAAGGAATACAAAAGAACTCTGACAGTTGCTTGGGCCAGGGTGGATCAGTTAAGAGGTTGTTTCACGCTCCACAAAAGCTCCTGACCAGAGGCCTTGCTGTTGGATGCAGTTTATCGTCTTACTCAAGACGCGGATGCAGTTTATCGTCTTACCCAGGACGCGGATGAAGTTAATCGTCTTACTCAAGACGCGGATGCAGTTTATCGTCTTACCCAGGACGCGGATGCAGTTTATCGTCTTACTCAAGACGCGGATGCAGTTTATCGTCTTACTCAAGACGCGGATGCAGTTTATTGTCTTACCCAGGACGTGGATGCAGTTAATCATCTTAACCCAGGACGCGGATGCAGTTAATCGTCTTAACCCAGGACGCGGATACAGTTAATTGTGTTACTCAGGACGCACATATTTAGAATTCCAATCTTGGAATCTCTTGCTGCCAAACATGGTCTGGTGCGTCTGCTGTATATTTAGAGATTCTTGATAAAATCCAAAGAAGAATCAGCAATATTATCATACGTTTGGGAATTTTCGATCTCTTCGAAAGCGGGTTGACAAATGTATTGCTGGTAATATTTTTAAGTTTTTAAAAAAATGTATTGCAGGTAATAATATATTTCTGGTAATAATTTTTTCCTTCAAAAATACATTGCTGGGAATAATTTTTACCAAAAATGTATTGCTTGTATTAAAACCTATTTTCCTACTGTTATAGTATTTTCACCCTAATTTGGGGGTTAACTTTTTGCTCAAAGCTGGGACCCTAAGAGGTGCTACCACCCCAGGTTCGTGTGGACCTGAAAACAGCAATTAAGAGGCGGTTCCACGTTCCTCAAAACCTCCCGATCAGAGAGTTGGGTGTAGTTTATCGTCTTACCCAGAACGAGATAAAATTAGAAAACAGAGACAATGGGAGAAAGGAGTGCATATAAAGCTAAGAGATGAAGATAGAAGTAGAGTCACATAAAAGAGAAAAAGCTATAAAAATGATTTGCTTATTTGTATTCTACGGCTTATCAACCCTTTGCAGGTTATTTAAAGCCAGGAAATATTTTTAGATTGTAAGAAATTTTCCTTTTTTTTTTGGCGATAATGACACTTTAGTGATGCAAGTCTTACTCATTAACCCATAGCTGGGGGAGAAGACGTGGATTCATATCTTTTCCCAAGGGCATTTGCACGCAAGTGAATATAGCGAATGCAACGGGGACTGGAACTCAGGTTTCCAATGAACAATTCCGAACCAGTAACCATTACACCTACCGCACACCCAGGCTTATAACATCTGGTATTTCCAAGTCATACAAGAGAATTGACATTACATGACAATTTAACGCTCTTTTTTTTTTCTAACGACATTTTCCTGTTTATTGAGACTATGTTTAAATTTTTGAATGCATCTGTTAACGGTAACAACAACAGCAAAAACAACAGCAATAATAATAATAATAATAATAATAATAATAATAATAAAACCACAGATGATGTTAGGCAAGCTCTAACGAAATCCCAAAAGTGGAAATCCCCAGGAAATGACAAGTTGCTCAATTTCTGGTTGTATCATCTCTCATCTACCCATGAAATTCTTGCAAAAACATTATCAACGCTTGTAAATAATCCCAATAAAATCTCGGAATGGATTACTGAAGGTATTACACACCTCATACCAAAAACTACTGAAACAGACGGCCCGAAAAATTATAGACCGATAACATGTCTCTCCACAACGTATAAGTTGATCACGTCTGTACTGAAGAACCGTACTTATTCCTTTCTCGAAACAAACAGCATTCTCCCGCTGGAACAGAAGGGATGCAGAAGAGGTTCATATGGCTGCAAGGATCAACTTCTGATAAATAAAATGATCCTGGAAAATTGCAGGAGACGAAGCAGGAATCTAAGTGCAGCGTGGATTGATTATCGTAAAGCCTTTGATAGTGTTCCACATTCTTGGATCCTTAAGACTTTAGAAATGTACAAAGTCTCCCTGTGGTATTAAATTTCCTTAAGCACAGCATGGGAATGTGGAACACCAAACTATACCATAGTCACACCTGGGGCATTGCCATATCCAACCGTCTGAATATCCGACGTGGAATCTTTCAAGGAGACTCTCTGTCACCCCTTCTGTTTTGTTTATCCTTAATCCCTCTTACACATGAACTGAACAACAGTAGCTATGGTTACAAAATAAATAAGAAAATATTGAATCACCTACTCAACATGGATGATCTCAAACTCTTTGCCAAAGACGACAATGAGTTGAAAGGCCTCCTCAATATTGTAAAATACTTCAGTGACGACATAGGTATGGACTTCGGATTAGATAAATGTGCAAAAGTAAATTTCAAGAAAGGTAGAATTACAGAAACACCCTTAATAGATTTAGATTTTGTCACAAAGATTAGGGAGCTGGAGCATGATGAAGCTTATAAGTACCAAGGAATTAGCGAAGGAGATGGCATACAACACCCCCCCGCAAATGAAGGAAAAAATAAGAAAAGAGTATTACAGGCGTGTACGTCTGGTACTAAACACTCAGCTAAACTCAAAAAACAGAATATCAGCCATAAATACATTGGCTGTCACTGTGGTGCAATACAGCTTTAATGTCCTTAACTGGACCATAGCTGAAATTAAGCGAATGGATGCCAAAACGAGAAAGCTTCTCACTTGCTATCGCATGCATCATCCCAAAGCTGATGTTGATCGTCTGTATGTGCCCAGATCCGAAGGAGGCAGAGGATTAGTTCAACTAGAACTGTCCTACAAAACTACAACATTTGGCCTCCAAAGATATTTGGAAACTACAAAAGACTGGATGATGGTATGCGTCAAGGAACATGAAAGTAATAAGCGTCTGTACTCCGTAATGAAGGAAGCCAACAAATTCAAAATGGAGTTTCAAATGGGCGTAGAGATGCAACTACAGCACAATACACAGGCTGAAATTGCCAAATACCTAAAAAAGACAGCAAAGACTAATGCAACCGACCATATACAGAAGCGATGGCAAGATAAACCGCTTCATGGCCAATACTCTGCCCGTACCAAACAAGCTGACGTAGACAAAACTCGTACCCATCAGTGGCTACGTAGTGCAGGGTTGAAAGCGGAAACTGAAGGTTTTATCCTTGCTGCGCAGGACCAATGCTTGCTACCTAGGAATTATCAAGCACATATACTAAAATATTGTGTCAGACCAAAATGCAGATTCTGTGATAAATATCCAGAAACGATTGATCATCTTGTATCAGGTTGCACGGTGTTGGCACCCACTGAATATAAAACCCGGCATGACAGAGTGGGCCAATATCTGCACTGGAAAAATCTGCAATTTCTACGGAAGAAAACTGAAAGAAACTGGTATGAACACCACCCAGACCCGGTTACGGAGATAGGACCTGTTACAATTCTATGGGACTACACAATACACACTGACAGAACAATCAAAGCCAACCGCCCAGATATTGTTATTAAAGACCACAAACAAAAAAATTGCCTCCTTATTGACATGGCAGTCCCTGCTGACTGCAATGTATCTTTGAAGATATTCAAAAGTTGTCAAAATACAAAGACCTTGAAATAGAAATCTCGAAAATGTGGCATATGGGAACATCAACAATCCCTGTTGTAGTTGGAGCCCTAGGATTGGTTGGAAAAGATTGCAGCAGACTAATTGAAGGGATTCCTTGAAGTCCATACCTAAAAGAGATACAAAAAATTGTTCTCACAAGTACAGCCCACACTTTACGAAGGGCTTTATCTATGTAAAATATATATATATATATATATTTTTGTCAGTGGAAAGTGTCATAATGCCATTTTTCTAACCTTAGGTCCCTGGGCGGGACCCGGAAAGAAATGTAAAAACCAGAAATCAAAGAAAATAAAACAACAACAATAATAATAATAATGTCTTATATATTTCCGATGATTACCGTAATTCTTCAAGGATAATAAAATAATTATTTCTAAAAAAATAATAAGCAAAATTAGGTGTGCGCATTATGCACAGTTACAAAGAATCTTTAAAAAAATTGCCGTAAAATAAAATAAGAATTATCATAAAACTAAATTAGAATAATATTATTCTATGTTTAAAAACATTTTTTTAAAATACGCTGGCCGTAATGAAATTGGAGAAATACAAATTATACGGTTCGATTACCAAACAAGGGGTGCGTATTATGCGTGAATAGAAGCATTTTTCCACACTTTCAGTACAATTTTAGGGGTGCGTATTATGGGGATAAATGCGTATTATACATGGGAAATGATGGTATTTCTTTTTTTATTAATTTCTATTGCTTTTCATTTAAGCAATTGCAATGCTAATACCAATTATGAAATAAGACGTTTCAAGAAACTAACATGACACCTCGGTTTCCGTGTGGACCTGAAAACAGCAATTAAGAGGCGGTTCCACGTTCCTCAAAACCTCCCGATCAGAGGCCTTGCTGCTGGGTGTAGTTTATCGTCTTACCCAGAACGAGATAAAAATAGAAAAGAGAGACAATGGGAGAAAGGAGTGCATATAAAGCTAAGAGATAAAGATAGAAGTAGAGTCACATAGAAGAGAAAAGAGCTATAAAATGATTTGCTTATTTGTTTTCTACGGCTTATCAACCCTTTGCAGGTTATTTAAAGCCAGGAAATATTTTTAGATTGTAAGAAATTTTCCTTTTTTTTTTTTGCGATAACGACACTTTAGTGAAGCAAGTCTTACTCATTAACCCATAGCTGGGGAGAAGACATGGATTTATATCTTTTTCACAAGGGCATTTGCACGCAAGTGAATATAGCGAACGCAACGGGAACTGGAACTCAGGTTTCAATGAACAATTCCGAACCAGTAACCATTACACCTACCGCACCTCAGGCTTATAACATCTGGTATTTCCAAGTCATACAAGAGAATTGACATTACATGACAATTTAACGCTCTTTTTTTTTTTTGTTTCTAACGACATTTTCCTGTTTATTGTGACTATGTTTAAATTTTTGAATGCATCTGTTAACGGTAAAAACCACAGCCAAAACAACAGCAATAATAATAATAATAATAATAATAATAATAATAATAATAATAATAATAATAATGAAATCGAAATCTCAAAATGTGGCACATGGGCACATCAACAATCCCTGTGGTAGTTGGAGCCCTCGGATTGGTTGGAAAAGATTTCATCAGACTAATAAAGGATTCCTGGAAGTCCATGCCCCAAAGAGATACAAAATCTCATTATTACAGCTCACACCGTACGAAGGGCTTTATCTATGTAAAACGTGTGTGCGTTTGTTTTTTTATTAATTAGTCAGTGGAAAATGTCAAGATACTATTTCTTACCTTAGGTCTCGGGCGGAAAATATTTTTGCAACCTGTAGCTCCTTTCTTGCAGACCCAACTTCACAAACCTATCACTAATCTATTGCTATTTCAATGGAAAATGTTCAGACAACCTCCATTTTTTATTTTACCAGTCCAGACATTTACCGCCAAGAACCACATTCAAGATTACAGATTTTTTTCAGATCGAATTCACTCCTCTCCTGGACGTTATCGTCAGCATTGCTGATGTCAAGCAGAGCAGTGTCTTTCAGGTGATTAATAGAGAGCAGTTTTGTTTGAGTCGTTAAAATAAACAAGGTAACCTTTGCTTCAATTATCAAAAGACAGTTGGTCATTTTGAGATAAGCCGCCAATTTGACCTAATCGATCTGATCACACTTACTATCGAGACAGGAATAAATGGTGGTGTCATCAGCACAGATACCAAGTTGAGATTACCTAATTACCTAATTGGCTTATCTAATGCATTGCTTAACTATCTTGACTGGGATTACACTAAACGAAAAAAAAAGGTAATAATAATAATAATAATAATAATAATAATGAAATCGAAATCTCAAAAATGTGGCACATGGAAACATCAACAATCCCTGTTGTAGTTGGAGCCCTCGGATTGGTTGGAAAAGATTCCAGTAGACTCATTGAAGGGATTCCTTGAAGTCCATGCTTCAAAGAGATACAAAAAATTGTTCTCACAAGTACAGCCCACACTTTACGAAGGGTTTTATCTATGTAAAACATATATATATATATATATTTTTTTTTTGTCATTGAAAGTGTCATAATGCCATTTCTAACCTTAGGTCCCGGGACCCGGAAAGAAATGTAAACGCCAGAAATCAAAGAAAATAAAACAACAATAATAATAATAATAATGTCTTATATATTTCCGATGATTACCGTAATCTTCAAGGATAATAAAATAATTATTTCTAAAAAATAATAAGCAAAATTAGGTGTGCGCATTATGCACAGTTACAAAGAATCTTTAAAAATTGCCGTAAAATAAAATAAGAATTATCATAAAACTAAATTAGAATAATATTATTCTATGTTTAAAAATTTTTTAAAAAATACGCTGGCCGTAATGAAATTGGAGAAATACAATTCATACGGTTCGATTAACAAACAAGGGGTGCGTATTATGCGTGAATAGAAGCATTTTTCCACACTTTCAGTACAATTTTAGGGATAAATGCGTATTATACATGGGGAAATGATGGTATTTCTTTTTTTATTAATTTCTATTGCTTTTCATTTAAGCAATTGCAATGCTAATACCAATTATGAAATAAGACGTTTCAAGAAACTAACATGACACCTCGGTTTCCGTGTGGACCTGAAAACAGCAATTAAGAGGCGGTTCCACGTTCCTCAAAACCTCCCGATCAGAGGCCTTGCTGCTGGGTGTAGTTTATCGTCTTACCCAGAACGAGATAAAAATAGAAAAGAGAGACAATGGGAGAAAGGGAGTGCATATAAAGCTAAGAGATAAAGATAAAGTAGAGTCACATAAAAGAAAAGAGCTATAAAATGATTTGCTTATTTGTTTTCTACGGCTTATCAACCCTTTGCAGGTTATTTAAAGCCAGGAAATATTTTTAGATTGTAAGAAATTTTCCTTTTTTTTTTTTTGCGATAACGACACTTTAGTGAAGCAAGTCTTACTCATTAACCCATAGCTGGGGAGAAGACATGGATTTATATCTTTTCACAAGGGCATTTGCACGCAAGTGAATATAGCGAACGCAACGGGAACTGGAACTCAGGTTTCCAATGAACAATTCGAACCAGTAACCATTACACCTACCGCACACCCAGGCTTATAACATCTGGTATTTCCAAGTCATACAAGAGAATTGACATTACATGACAATTTAACGCTCTTTTTTTTCTTTTTGTTTCTAACGACATTTTCCTGTTTATTGTGACTATGTTTAAATTTTTGAATGCATCTGTTAACGGTAACAACCACAGCCAAAACAACAGCAATAATAATAATAACAATAATAATAATAATAATAATAATAATAATAATAATGAAATCGAAATCTCAAAATGTGGCACATGGGCACATCAACAATCCCTGTGGTAGTTGGAGCCCTCGGATTGGTTGGAAAAGATTTCATCAGACTAATAAAGGGATTCCTGGAAGTCCATGCCCCAAAGAGATACAAAATCTCATTATTACAGCTCACACCGTACGAAGGGCTTTATCTATGTAAAACGTGTGTGCGTTTGTTTTTTTTATTAATTAGTCAGTGGAAAATGTCAAGATACTATTTCTAACCTTAGGTCTCGGGCGGAAAATATTTTTGCAACCTGTAGCTCCTTTCTTGCAGACCCAACTTCACAAACCTATCACTAATCTATTGCTATTTCAATGGAAAATGTTCAGACAACCTCCATTTTTTATTTTACCAGTCCAGACATTTACCGCCAAGAACCACATTCAAGATTACAGATTTTTTTTCAGATCGAATTCACTCCTCTCCTGGACGTTATCGTCAGCATTGCTGATGTCAAGCAGAGCAGTGTCTTTCAGGTGATTAATAGAGAGCAGTTTTGTTTGAGTCGTTAAAATAAACAAAGGTAACCTTTGCTTCAATTATCAAAAGACAGTTGGTCATTTTTGAGATAAGCCGCCAATTTGACCTAATCGATCTGATCACACTTACTATCGAGACAGGAATAAATGGTGGTGTCATCAGCACAGATACCAAGTTGAGATTACCTAATTACCTAATTGGCTTATCTAATGCATTGCTTAACTATCTTGACTGGGATTACACTAAACGAAAAAAAAAATAATAATAATAATAATAATAATAATAATAATGAAATCGAAATCTCAAAAAATGTGGCACATGGAAACATCAACAATCCCTGTTGTAGTTGGAGCCCTCGGATTGGTTGGAAAAAGATTCCAGTAGACTCATTGAAGGGATTCCTTGAAGTCCATGCTTCAAAGAGATACAAAAATTGTTCTCTGAAGTACAGCCCACACTTTACGAAGGGCTTTATCTATGTAAAACATATATATATATATTTTTTTTGTCATTGAAAGTGTCATAATGCCATTTCTAACCTTAGGTCCCTGGGCGGACCGGAAAGAAATGTAAACGCCAGAAATCAAAGAAAATAAAACAACAATAATAATAATAATAATGTCTTATATATTTCCGATGATTACCGTAATCTTCAAAGGATAATAAAATAATTATTTCTAAAAAATAATAAGCAAAATTAGGTGTGCGCATTATGCACAGTTACAAAGAATCTTTAAAAAATTGCCGTAAAATAAAATAAAATTATCATAAAACTAAATTAGAATAATATTATTCTATGTTTAAAAATTTTTTAAAAAAATACGCTGGCCGTAATGAAATTGGAGAAATACAATTCATACGGTTCGATTAGCAAACAAGGGGTGCGTATTATGCGTGAATAGAAGCATTTTTCCACACTTTCAGTACAATTTTAGGGGATAAATGCGTATTATACATGGGAAATGATGGTATTTCTTTTTTTTTATTAATTTCTATTGCTTTTCATTTAAGCAATTGCAATGCTAATACCAATTATGAAATAAGACGTTTCAAAAACTAACATGACACCTCGGTTTCCGTGTGGACCTGAAAACAGCAATTAAGAGGCGGTTCCACGTTCCTCAAAACCTCCCGATCAGAGGCCTTGCTGCTGGGTGTAGTTTATCGTCTTACCCAGAACGAGATAAAAATAGAAAAGAGAGACAATGGGAGAAAGGAGTGCATATAAAGCTAAGAGATAAAGATAGAAGTAGAGTCACATAGAAGAGAAAGAGCTATAAAAATGATTTGCTTATTTGTTTTCTACGGCTTATCAACCCTTTGCAGGTTATTTAAAGCCAGGAAATATTTTTAGATTGTAAGAAATTTTCCTTTTTTTTTTTTTTGATAACGACACTTTAGTGAAGCAAGTCTTACTCATTAACCCATAGCTGGGGGAGAAGACATGGATTTATATCTTTTCACAAGGGCATTTGCACGCAAGTGAATATAGCGAACGCAACGGGAACTGGAACTCAGGTTTCCAATGAACAATTCCGAACCAGTAACCATTACACCTACCGCACACCCAGGCTTATAACATCTGGTATTTCCAAGTCATACAAGAGAATTGACATTACATGACAATTTAACGCT